TAAATCCTGTAGATTTGGGGAGGCCGCGGAAATGGGCCTGGCCTCAATGTTTCTCTGAAGCCCTCTCAGAGTTTTTTAAATAAATACACGGCTTCAAAGCAGCAGCATAATAGTTTTCAGCTAACCCTCTTTCTGCGAGATAAAGATTGCCCATATAATAAGTACGGACTCCACTGGACTCTTTTTTTTGACGCGCAGCCGCGCACACTGCTGCGGCTACACGTGCCAGCGAATCCTGAGTATCCAAGCAATGCAACAACAGTAAATAATGACATGACGTCCGAGCGCAGTACAAGCGCAAGGCTTCTGGAGACAAAGACAGCAAAGGCCGGAAGCAGGTCCTGAGATGTAGTTCAGACATACATGCGTAAAAACGTCACACCTAGGTGTATATGTATGTGTTTTATTCAGATTAATGTGCAAGTTCCATGGCGAAATAATGAGGCGCTTACGCTGGCCGAGGTAGGCGGTATGTCGCAGATGGATTTCTGAACATAGACACATACGTGACACACGCGTCAGCAATCGAAACCGTGCCTGTTCTCTCTGAAGATGTAGTCGCGAAGGATGATGGCGAAACCCCTGAGGATGAGCTGCGAGTGCGATACTGTCGAGGGAACGAGTACTGAGGAACTGGCATTGCCGGAAAGTCATCATCAGACACATGGAAAAAGGAGTACAGTGTCCGCACGATCCTCCAGAGGGAAATGTTGACATCGCTTGTCCAGAGTTATTCACTGAGCTCCGTACCAGTCTTCTATGTCTCTGAGATCGTTGTACAGCCTGAAGTCCGATTTTGATATAAACATACTGTTTGGCATTCAACAGAAGGAACGAGCTCCCGACACCCACTCCTCGTCCAGCATATGTCCAGAATCTTCTGCCGTCTTTTTCATCCTCGCGCGGCGCATGGCATGAAGTATTCATTGAAGTACTCGCTGCCGAGGCCGGCACGTTGCAGCGATGGCCGCAAGCCAGAGCCCTTTCACTTCCTGAGTAGATTTACTAAACGAACACTCTAGTTCTGCCGA